CAGGACTTCACCCTCCAGCAAACCACGGAGGGAAGCGCAGTCGATAGTGGGAACCTCCATTATGACCATAGTAGTAAGGCGGGGGAGAAATGTTAAATCCAAAAACATAAAGTTACGACGAAAGACAAAACTTAAGTTTGAGCCGACTTGACAAACGTTGTTCGTCCAAGTGTTATTCGAAGCGCGGAGTCCTTTGTTCCGGTTAGCTTGTTTAAACAAAAAAAAAGAAAAAATCAAAAACACGAAAAAGTTTTAAGACGATCTTAAAACTGGTCCTTTCTTCTTCTTTAGAGTAGCCTATTCGGCAGCCCCAGGCTTTTATTTGTCTTCTTAAGTTAAAAAAATTAAATGTTATAGTGAGCGCGTCTGCTTGTGAGTGCCTTTCAGCCCGCTTTTATAAACCGGTGGTTGTGAATGAGAGTTCAATGACGTCAAGGGGACCGCCCTCTTGGATGTCTGCCAATTCTGCGAACGTCATCGCCGACCGTACCGCGTGCACGAGGGCAAAAGAAGGCTCGCGCACACGCTGGACATTTCTGTACATGCGTCCTGCACGTACGCGGGCACGCGATGCTGACCAATTTTAATCATTAGCGGCTAATGTGTTTTCTTTCTTCAGTGTGTCAACGTTAAACTCTTATAAAGCTATTCTACTTTAATACATGAGGCTGCTAATTCACCAAATCACAAGTACAATTAACACCAATTTACAGCCTTCTAAGTGTTTACACATCTATTTGTCCTATGCAGTAATTTATAATAGCTGCTTTATGATTGTTTATTTCAGTGCACGCTGCCAGTGTCTTTAAGGTTTTTAATTGTTTAATTCTGGTTCATGTAAAGTCCTAATTTGAAGATCTGCATGTCGGGAAAAAGAGGAATTTGCCAAACCTTTCCATGATGTTAGTGTTTAATTAGATTTTAAATTCGCCTCTTCATCTGAGAGTTGACAAATAACAAGATAATAAATAGATATCTGCCACGGGTGCCATAAAAGTTTACACATTGTTTTTATTAGTCAGCGGTACATAGTGTTCAATGCCCCGAGAGCAACGGCTAACCATAAAAGTTAATCACTATATAGAAATCTGAAGTCCAGTAAATTTCCACATGCTTAGAAACAAAACAGTGGATTGCCAGGAAGGCAACAGCAGATGGAGATCTCTTGACCAGCTACTTTTGTTTCATCCGTGGTCTAACTGGAAAGGATGGGTGACATGATGAACTGTGTAAGTCAAAATGAGAGTATGTTTTTAAAAAACAAAACAAAACAAAACAAACAAAAAGCTCTGGGAAACCCTTTTCATTTGTTGTTGTGGTTTGCTGACTCAGTACAGACAACACTTCTCTTTCATAATAAGGAAGCTGGAAGATCACTGTTGTTAGAGACTGTGTGTCTGTTGACTAGCCCTACTGTCTTGAAACTGAACAGCAGACACACATCACGGTTGTTTGGTTGTGAAACAAACATTTTCCAAGCAGAGGTGAACGTGTGATATTACAACACTGGACTTTAGGATACTTTAACAGTCACTTATTAAAAAAATTAGGTCACCTAACATATTTACATTTTTTTTTTAATTGTCACACTGTTTTATCAAATAGGTCATGATGTCATTATGACTTTAACCTGACTGAGTGTGGACTTTCAGGCTTGGTGAGTTCACACCTGTCCTGTTCCTGAGCGTCTCTTTGACTTCAAGCAAGGAGGGGTGAAAAAATGAATTTGTTATCTAAGAAAGGAAGGAGGCAGAGAAAGGTAACCAGTCACGGTTGAGTGCAGAAAAACTCTCCAGCCGGTTTAAACTCACACTCATGTGAGATGAGTCACATCTCACACGAGTGTGAGCCTGTGAGAAGCTTGCAACAAAGCAGGAATGTTACACACAACGCAAGGACATAGGGTCAAACGGTCTCCAAAAACAGTCTGTACCCAAACATTTTGTCCTTGCAGCAAATCCGCCTTCCTTCCACTTATGAAGCAACAGGCGTTATGGTTAAGGCAGAAACGGAACACCTGACTAAGAGATGAAGACAGACAGCCAGAACAAAACAAAAGCAACCCTGTGAATCAGTTTTGTACTTTCTTGAAGTAAGAGGTGCCCCCCCCCCCCCCCCCCCCCCAAAAAAAAAAAAAGACAAAAAACACACCATCATTTACCTTTCAGTTATTCACAGATCCTGCTTATATCTGGTGTGATACTGGCTTACAAAATATTCTCGGATATTAATTAAAGTTTTACTGGCAAAAGCCAAGTATCATATTTCACCATCTGCAACAGTGAAGCCGGTATAGTTTTCTCCTTTTGAAGCTGTATGAGTGGCTGTATTATGCGTCATCACTGCAAAATGAGACCCAAAGGATACATTGGGAAATACTACAAAGTCAGGTGTTTTTTTTTTATGTATGTCAGGATGTTAATGTTTTTCTTTTTTTGCCTTTTGTGTTGCAGCCATGCTAGATCAGGAAATGAAGCGTGGGTGTGGTTGTCACTTGGGTACAAAGTAAAGGTATTCAGTTACGGGATGAATAAGAGCCCATGACTCAGGGGACCTTTGCAACAAGTAGCTGAGATTGAAACAGAAACCAGGAGATGATGGGTTTAGGACTGGTGTGAATGTGCCAAATTTCTCTGCGGTCATCATGACCAGAAAGCTGGACTTTGCTGTGAGCACGGCTGGATGTATGTGTGAGACTGAATATTAAAAGTGAGCACTGAAAGTAGTTGAAACCATTGCTTTGTTTTCATTCCCATAATAACAGCCTGTAACCAACCAGCGTTCCCATGCAGAAAGGGAAGTGAAACAGAGGATGACAAAGTGGCATTTCCTGTGGTCAGACCGCTCTGTCACTTGCTGACATCTGTGCCTGATTACTGTCATTGTCACTACGGGCTGCACTGAGACATCACTGGGAAAACACAGGGCTTATCCTGTCTTCTAGTGTCTCAGCAACAGATCACTTTTCTTTGAGCCAAAAATATTCTGTTTCTTGATATGAGAATATATATGTGTGTGTGTGTGTTAAGGAAAGAAAACGAAAATACCTACAGTGGAAAAAACTTTAACTGATAGATTTGATGGATTTCTGGTAGGAGAGCAGCAGATGCATTTCTCAACCATACCAGCCTGACGTATAGGCCTCAGTTTCAGTTTTGTGGTGTTATTTTAGTCCCCTAGAAATTTGGACATGATCGCAATGGATGTGAACCAAACTCATAAGTAGTGTTACTGTAAAAACTCACATATTCTCCATTCATTTGTCAGACTTGGAAAAGCTTAGCCGAGGGCTGTTTTGCTTGAAAAATTTATTTTTACTACACATCAGCTGATTTTCTTTCATGGTGACCTTTTTTTTTTCATTTTTACACGTGAAGGGTAATCAGTGTTGGTCAGATAATGTGCAGGCTTTTGTTTACTTGCCAAAAAGCACAGCTGATGTGCTTGGAGTAAATGTGGGAGATTAGTTGTTAGCACAGTAATACCTCTATTAGTTTTATTAGAATGGCAATATGATTTATATCACATAGACGCCTCGAGCAAAGTAGTAGTTAACACATGCCGCTTGGCAAGCGTGAAGGTTGTTGATTTGATTCCAGCTACAGACATAAAACCCTCCCTGGGTTGCGTGCGTCAAGAAGAGCATCTGATGTAAAACTGCTAGATCAAATGTGCGTAGTTACTCGCCATGGCGGGAGGGGGGGCAGAGTGTCTTACTTAATTTTAGAAGTAAGAACAACATGAATAGCAGTAGTGATAAAAAAAACCATGTTCTTTTATTAAGTAACACCTTTCTTTAAAACAATCTATTGTTTGGACTCCTGTAAAAAGTTACTCAAAACTAACTTTACCAGGATTAATGTCATATGTACAATTGTATAATAATTTTCTATTCATAATTTATGGACTGGTACTTTTAAAACACTTTTCTACTCAAGTTTAGCACTGCAAGCACTTCCTAGTCTCACTCACCAAATCACATTCATACAGCTGTTGTTTCAGCATTCACACACACACACACACACACAAATGCATTGGGGGCGTCTTGGTGTTGTGGATCTTGCCCAAGGATTCTTTCATAAGGATACTTTGAGAATCTAGGGATTCATCCACCAACCTTCTGATAGAGTCCTCCTTAGCCAGAGCCACTCAGGTGGCAGAGTTTTATGTTTATCAATTTTCATTTCTTGGTAAGAAAGAGTTGTTAGCATTATTTTTAAAAAGTGGGAGAGAACCTTTTCCTCTATGGCAATTTGGCACAGGTGGTAGAGCTGGTCGGCCACTAATCAGAAGGTTGGTGGGTTAATACCTGGCTTGCTATGTTCTCATGATGACATAATGCTTGTATGAATTTGTATATTGAGGCATGTTGTAAGAAAATGAGCAGAAAAGTGCTACACAAGTATCAGTGCAGACCAATTGGAAAAATCAAAGAATGAACTAAAGTATTCTTGGGCAAGATGCTGAACCCTGAGTTACACAGATTTCATCTATCACTGCAGTGAGGGTGTATGTGAATGTCAGCTAAATATTTACTTTTAAAATGTGTAGGTGAATGAGACTTGGAGTAGTATATAATTTTTTTTAACATTTTAAAAATATTTTTGTTCTCTTGCTGCACATATTAGAAAAGAAAGCAAAAAATAAGAGTAAAAGCATAACACATGGATAACACTGGATTAAATTTGAGTTTTGAGCAGTTTGTATTGCCCATTTTTGTCATAAAATTCATAATTCCTTTCCCTCTTAAAATTCACGTTACTAAATAAATAAATAAAACACTGTATAGTTTTCAGTCAATAAAATTATTTTTAAAAAATGTGATCGTATTGCACAAGTTCATCTTTTGTTAATCTTAATGTTAATTTTTAATTATTTCTTAATTTAAAAAACGTTTTCCCATTCATGTTTCGGTCCGTTATAATACGGCTGCATCACTCGGAGGAAGAAGAATCATAGTGAACAGGAAGTACATCTCAGCCAATCAGCTTCTGCAAAGCGTCCTAAGCTGACGTCAGCCCGGTACCCATGAACAACCGGTAGCGTTGAAGATAGTATGGTCTCCTGTTGTTTGTAGTTTTCTTCTTTTTAACACCCCTGTCCAACGTGCAAACATCATGACTTTCGATGTTAGGAGGTGAGTACGGGGGGCTTCCGGTTCTTTGTGGCGGGATATGAAGGGGAAAGTAGTGGTGGTGGTCTGCTGTCTGTGAGCTCTAGATGAAATAACAGTTGGCTCAGCATCACATGCTACTGAGGCAGCCAAAGTTATCACAATGATGTGTTGCGTTTGACATAAGCGAACTCAGTTTAAAAAGAAAAAAAGAAACATTTTTTTATGCACGGGTTTTTCGTTAAGTCGCCGCAGTGATGCTCGGGGTTTTGTGTGGGTTTCTTTTTTTGCGCATGTGCAAATGTCCTCGACCAGCTTTGCAAGACGTGAGCCCGATTACAATCAGCACAGCGGCAGTCTAAACAGAGGTGATGTCCTCGGTTGGTTTGGTTTACAAAAGAAACTGTGTAGCACGTTCAGTACACAAACATCAAAACATTCAGTCATTAGCCACCAATAAACAGTGAAACCGGAACACAGCCATTGCAGAGCCATTCAAGCCATTGAACTGCAACTTAAACTTGTTTGCCACACCTTCTCTACAGGGCTGTTAACACCCTACCTATCAATAGAGTTCGGGCAGTTAGAATAAAAAACAGGATGTTTGCATTGTCCATTTGCATAATGCTCACTTCATCCTGTTTGCCAGTGCCAAGACAAATTTAGTAACAACACATTTTGAGCCAGCCTTTAGATTTTGAATGGAAATCTACCATATCCACAGTCACAACTGTTAAGTTCACAGAGATGAATCGTCACACATTTGAGTCTAAAATGGTATCTGATAAACTCAACTGCAGCGTGTTCTGGAAACCAATTAAACACATACAAAACGTATGTCTTCAGAGGCTCTGAATAAGTAATGTATTACTTTTGCAGTTATCCTGTTGCTCACCAGACCCAACAAAAGTCATTTTCTAACAGTATTTTAACAAAGCAGCTGCTATATTGGAGAAAAACATTTAGCAAAGTCAAAAACAAAATATCTTCTATGTATTTTATTTTGAGGGCAAATTAAGTTGTAAAGTGCTTGTACATTAATAATATTTATGTTTCCTGCCTGTGGATTGCAGTGTTACATTTTGGGCTTATTCAAGTGCCTTTTAGTTGTTTGTCTGTTGGTTTCTTACCATCTAAATTAAAAAAAATTCTCAAAACACTATCTTTGACACACAAAATTAATGTAGCACAATATTTGAGTATGGACTGGTTCTAACCGAGCACTCAAAGTGCCTTTTATTGTAAATGGTAAGTCCCTAGTCCCTATGGACCCCAAAGCGCTTTACACTACATTTAGTCATCCACCCATTCACACACTGGTGATGGTGATTGTAGCCACAGCTGCCTTGGGGCGCACTGACAGAGGCGAGGCTGCCGGACACTCTGACCACCACCAGTCTCTTGAGCCACGATCGCCCCTTACTACAAGCTTTAGTCACCCATTCACACAGTGCTTTGTTCTATGCCCTCTGGAGGAGTATGAGGTTCACTCCCTTGCCCAAGGACGTTTTCGCAACTTTACCATGACCTTCCGAATAGCAGATGATCCGCTCTGTCTCTTGTGCAGAGCTTGTGCAGTTAATCTTACCAGGGAGCCACATTTAGGGCCTAATTGTAACATTAATTCTTACTGGTAGCAGTTTATAAAGAGAGAAAGTTCATATTGAGCAGAATTGAGTTCGGCTTACTAGCGCAACAGTCACAGTTTCTCACATGGACCCTAGGAAAAATCAATTGCCCATCCCAGGTCCTGAGCCACAGCTTCCATTAGTAAATGTGATGTCATTTGCTGATAGGTCAATAGGAACCAACAAGGCTGATATGTGACAATGTTTCAGCTAATCCTCCCAGCTCTATTTAATGTGAAGTAATCACAGTTTTCAGATAGCTGTATAGCTGTGCTGAATGTTAACGCAGAAAAATCGGGCAGATTGATGAAAATGATCAACAGCACGGTCAAACTGGAAATCAGTGTCTGTCATCTTTTTCCAAAGATTACAGCTGTGTTGTGCTGACAGAATGATTTTACTACAGAAGAAAAAACACTCTTGATGAACTGTGTGTCACAAGAGGTCAGATTCTCATCGTTGGATGCTTTGCTTGATGCCTCGATCATACAAAACCCGCATTGCAACAGCTAGAAAAGGCTCGAGTAACTGTTTCGAGGTGTTGTCCTTTCAGAAATACTGCAGGGTTAGTCACCAGCGTGAGGGTGTGTAACACTTTTTGGCTACCATAGATTGCACCATCCACAAAAGTAGGATGTATTCCCAGAATGTGCATGTTATTTATTTCAAAGCGCACAACAAATAAGCTAAAGTGCGAAGCTGGTGTTTGTCTGCTTTTATGTTCATAAATCTAATGAGCAAAAATAATAAGGTGCTAATTTAAAATTTAAAACCTAATTGCATGTACACATTTTCATTTCTTTTAAAAAGAAGACACACAGAAATCCTTGCAGTAGCTGGACAGTTAGTAAGTTAGTCAGCTTTCCTCAAAGAGTTACTTGTGTATTTGTTAGTGACTATTTTAAGCTCTGGATTAATGTACAGTTGGTGTTCTAGGGGTTTTTTCCAGCAGCAGGATGGTGTACACATATACGGTCTTGTGTTCCCCTTCTAATATGTGGTAGTAAATTTCTGGGTTTGGTCTTTTCTAGAAATGCATATCTTTTTCAGCTGCTGTAGATTGACATTTCAACAGTAATAAAGTTCTTTCACAAATGCCAACTTCCAACAATGAGGATCATCTCATTCAGGATGACCGAACAGCGTCACTGAAGGAACGAGTGAATCACCGAAAGGCTTTTATGCCCAAGTTTAATGTCCTTTAGATTATGTCATTTATTGGCACAAGGACATTCTGTGTTAGCCAACCCGATGATCTGCTGTGTTTATTACATGGTCACTTTAGAGGCTTAATATGGATTCTCCCTGTTTTTTCAATAATTGCAGTAATGACTTTATTGTAACAGCAATTGGGTTACCTACGTAAAGAAAGAAGTATTGCTTATATTCTGTGGTGTAAGGTGTGAAAAGAAGAACCTTGATCGTCTGTAATGTGGGTTTACTCGGCTATACATGGAACAAACTACTGACTCACCGTGAGTCATTTGCGAGATTCGGCTTATTTATTTAAGACCCTTGAAAAGTAGGCTTGTGCTTTCGTGTCATGGTGTTAACAGTTAGATGCTGGTACATCATGTCCTCCCTAATCGCATAACATCTGAGCAGTGAGATGTGACGGAAGGAGATGTGTTGACTGTAATTCAGGAAATTACGAACGTAAGTGGTACACCGAGATGTGAACCCTTGAACCTCATCATAAATATTCATGAAGTGTTCTGAGTAGAGATAGTTCGATAAAACCACAGTGTCACACAGGTTAAAAATACATATACTGAAAGTTTATGTCAGTCTTTTTTTTTTTTTTTTTTTTTTACACTTCAGTAAGTGTATAGTCATGTTTTTCTTTAAAGTATATTTTCTTTCATTTTAAATAACTCCTAGATCTTTTAAATATTTTTTTAAATTGCTGACTTTAAAAGGTTTATAACTTCATAAACTGTACTTTATTATAATAAAGTTACTGACTACATTTTTAACTTTTTAACCAGTTACTTTAAAAGTCGAAAAGCCTGCAGCTCTGCTCTGCTCTGGATTCCAGTCTTTATGTTCTCGGATTAGTTCTCCACACTCTGGACTCTCTACTCAGTTCAGCTACGGTTCCCCTGCTGCTCTGCACAGCAGGTGACCCACATGTTTCCATGTGTCCACAACCTGCTCTGTCACTACTCAATATTCCATCCAGTCAGCCGGCAGTAATTACTTCTGCTAGCCACTACGATGATAATAACAGACAGCTAGTGTAGCTAATTAATTATACTGCTTATGTTAACGTGTGTGACAACCAGGTTAACATTTATGCTAACTTTTTAATACTTGTTGAAATGTGAGCTTTACTAGTGTCTGAAGTTTCTCCTAAGCTGTTGTTTAGTGTAATGAACATATTAATTTTACTAATGAATTCATTAACCTTTGTCATCTCAGAGTGAAAACATTGTAGGACTGCTTTAAAATGTTACAATAAGTCTCTTTTAAAAACAAAAAACTGAAATAGTTTAGCTGTGAGGCAGTAAACACAACTCATTTTGGTTACTGTCAAGTGAAAGTTGTGTGTTGTGGCCTTGTCTATTATTGTCCTTTTGTGGTATAATCTTACATCAGACCTTTATTTACCTACCCCTGGTTTGAAGTGCGGGACACTGTTTGTGAAACAGCAGTGTTATTCCAGTAGGATGACATGATCACAGTATGTTTTTACTTTAATGTCAAAGCAAAATGACGTATTTGAGTGAGGAAGCGTGTCTGCATGCAGCTCATTGCTTTTAACTAGTGAATAGTGTGGTTACATGGGTCACCTTTTAAAATCAAATGATGTGTAATTTGAAATACTTGAGCCAATATTGTATGTGGAGTCAGTGATAGTGATGTCATATTGTTCTTTTTTTTCAACATCTTCAACTGTTAAAAACAAAGTGTGTGTATATATATATATAATCTCCACAGATACACATGTAGTTTTTATAAGGGGAATTTATAGCTTTTGTTTAAAGAAAAAAAAATCCTGTCCACGTAACCAATGCTATGGAAACTATCTCAGTTCTTATGAAAATACAAGAACTAATGTCATGCATTGTCAGGAGCACACAAGTAGTGATAAAACACTAGTTGTATGGAAATGCTAGCCAATCAGAAGCCTGACTTTAAAAAAAAAAAAGACAGTAAAGGCTCACACATTTGACACTGAAAGACAACAAGGAGTATTTTAAAAGCTCAGTTTACATGTGTACAGAAGGCAAAAATGCATAGAAAAAGGTCAATTTTCTAAAATACACGTGCATGTAGCTGAACTGTTTCTCTAATTAAGCTGAAAAAAACTGTATTTGTATAAACAAGAATAATCCAAATATAGTCCAGATGAACTTCCTTTATGTAAAATGATCCTTTCCTGCCATAATGCTGAACTTGACAAACTGCACAACTCGCATATTCATAAAATGAGCTCAGTTGTTTTACGTTCTTATCAGTGGCTGAATACATATCTCGAACATCTCTGTTCCAAATAATACCACTATGACCACAATCTGCCTTCAGCCTTAGTCTACTCATACCATCTACACCGCAGAATGCGTAAATAATACTTGAATAAACTCCAAAGACGTGGAAAAGACTAGAACTTGACTAAGGCCTTCACATGGTGGGGATGTATATCATTTTGCTCCACCTGTCAGGTTGTTTTATGTGAGGAAAGGCAGTGCACATTATCTATCTACATTAGTATAGATGTATGCTGTGTATACCCTGATGTATACATATAGAGGAATGCTGAATGAGAGTTTTGGGATCTAGGAGTGCTTCACATTAAAACAAAGGCGTTAAAGCAGGAGGTTATGCAACACCGAGAGAAGAAACAGAGGTGGATTACAGGAAGCCCACCCTCATACTTCCTCCCCGGCCCTGCATTGCATTAGCTGTGATTATTTTTCTGGACGCTCTAAGTGGAAGAAATGTAGACAGATGTGATTGTTTTGGTAGGAGACGGCTAAAGAGAGTTGAGTGGGGAGATGAGAATATCGGGGTGTGGGAGGAGTTTGCACACTCAGCCAAAAGATTTTTCACTGCCCAAAAAGGACAAGCGCAAGAAGTCCAGAACCGAAATAGTTTTGGTGTTGAGTAGCAGATTTTTTTCTCCTTCCTTTTTCTAGCTCCCAAAATTGGCAAGAACAGTATTTCACAAGCAGAGTCGATTGTGTCAGGTGGAAATGATCTTCCCATCTCTTAAACGCTGATTTACGAGCAGTTTGAGAAAGGTATTTTTAGAAATATCCAAAATTGTTAAACTGAGGATTTTACCGAGAGTAAATCAGCAGTTCTTATATCCACTTACTGCCAAGAAGATGAAACCATATGATTTAAAGTTGTCGGTGAACTTGTGTTTATGTTTCTGTGTGTGTGCTTTTGTTGGCTTTGTGTGTGTGGAGTGTTAGACCTTTGTTGGGGTCAGTTCATAATTACAGAGCAGACATTCAAAGGAAGAGGTGTAACCCTGTAAAAGTGCGTGTGTGTGTTTGTATGTGTTGCGGTTGGCCGTCTGGATCTGTTATATATATATAATGGCGGACGTCCAAAGCTAACATTCCACCGCGCTTCTGTAATATCGCAAGGCATGATGGGTACAGAATGTGCAACGTTTTTCAGCACATAATATTTACATTTGCTATATATTTCTTTTTGTCTCTCCTCAGATTTGATATCTACAGGAAAGTGCCAAAGGATCTCACCCAGCCAACATACACAGGAGCTTTCAGTGAGTAGTCCTTCACTCACAGGCCAAACTTATGAGCATCTACTTTGAGGTTTTCATTTTTTTGTAATTTTTTGGGGGGGGATTTTGTTCCACATATGTGAAAGGAATTCCTGAATCTCGCTTCTATAAATGGAAGATGCAAAATGTGGCAAAATAAGATGTGAGACGTAATCACTTTTTCCAGTGAAAGTTAACTGTAAAAGGTCATCCTTCGTGACTGTACAGCTGCTTGCAGTAATTTGACATCAGCCAAAACACTCGTTCTGACTGCTCTGGCTGCTGGTAGCAAAATCTGCCTCTGCAGGACTTAGAGTGAGAATTAACACAAACCAAAGTGTAAAGGCGATAAACCATATTTCGAACAAATAAGATGGCATGTGTTAATGTTTGTGCCATAGATGCTTAGATTTGTGTGTGTGTGGGCTATCTTTGTGCTGATTAAGGCTACGTCTACACTAATGCATTTTCGTTTTCTCTCCGTTTTGGCCTCCCATCCACACTGAGACGGCGTTTTGAAAACGCTCTCGAAAACGAATACATTTGAAGACGGTGCGTTTGCGTCGCAGTGTGGACAGTGAAAACGTAGACTTTCTAAAATGATGACGCATTTCAGTCATGTGATGCAGTCGTGTGACCAATTAAACAAAGATAGCGGAGGGCATTATACAGCAGTTGTTTTGTTTTCTCTCAATTTTCACAGCCCTATTAAAGATTAATATCAGTTTGTACAAAGGTTATTATCGTTAACGAAAACTAACGAAAAATAGAAGTGAAAAAAACATTTTCGTTAACGGAAATAAAAATAAAAACAAGACTTTGCAAAAAAAGGAAAACTAACTAAAACTGTAATGAGTGTTTACAAAACTAACTAAAAGTAACTGAATTTATAGCGAAAATGTGTTTAGTTTTCATTGATGTGTGTGTGTCATACAATAGTCCTGGGTGAAAATGAAGTGTAGTTTCCAGGTTTTTTTCTTGCTGTGTCTCATTATGCCAGCAGGTGGCAAGTACGTTAATCGAATCGTCTGTGTCGCTGCTCCGTCCCACGCAGAATCGTGTCAGCAAAAGTCGGGAGAAATTGCTACAGTCCAATTTCAGATTACTTTGAATATGATTGTGTTTTAGATAAAAGCAAGTGTCTTGTAATAGAATGGGACAAATTATGCGGTGCATTTCTAAAGGGAAAAAAATCCCACAAACCTTAAAGTGCACTTGAAAAGCTCGCACAAGAAGGCTAACCTAGCTTACCTTGAGAAGGTAAGGGAGCACGCCCAACCCCCATCCCCAGAAACAGAAGCTAGTCCCAGGCAAGGCAGTGTGATGCATCCCAAGAGAACTCCACAAAAAACATTAATCCAGTGCTTCCAACAGCGACCCAATGGCTGCTGGTTGGTCAATTCGCAGGAACATCACAAGCGAGAGGAAGCGTTGGTCAATATGTTTATTGAGCCTGGGATGTCTACACAACTGTGTGAGTCAGTTGCCTTCAAAAAGTTTAGCAATTCACTTGAACCAAAATTACGAAGACCCGGTGCTGCAAGAGTTAAGTCTCATTGGGGCCAAGATATATCTTTTATAGTTGCCTGGTATCAATGGTTGTTCATCTGCCCTAATTTTTATTTAGTTATTTATTTATTTTTTAATAACCCATAGGTTCCCTATAGGTGGGAATGTGAGTTGTCTGTCTCTGCGTGTTAGCCCTGTGACAGACTGGCGACCTTTCCAGGGTGCAGGGTATGGTAGCTGGAATAGCAACATACCCAAGGATAAGCAGAAGATAAAAATAAAAACTAAACTAAACTAGCAAACAAATGGTAAAAATAATCAAAACTGATATAAAATTGAAAATCTGAAGTCAAAACTAAATAAAAATAAAAACTAATGAAAATTGCAAAACTATTAGCTTTTCTTCAAATTATTTAATTCTCACTCGCTCTTGCTGCTTTGTACTTTTGTGTTACTCGCAGCAACAACTCCACCTCATTGTCAGTCCATTTAAAAAATTTTCCTCAACCTTTTGCCGCAACGTTTCAAAGAGCCGGAAAGTAAATAAACGGCTGACAGAAATGAGGCAGGCCGAATCATCTTGCGCTTCACGCATGCGCAGGACTGGAACGTAAGCGTTTTCGGCCGTTTCAGCTTATTTCCATAGTAGAGTCAGTTCACTTTAGTATAAATGTCAGTGTTTAATTTCAGTGTAGCTTTTAGTAACTTTAGTATTAATATTTTAGTAGTTCAGAATAGGTGTTGCAAAATAAACACAGCACTTTTTGATTATAGTTGACACACAATTATAGACATCTCAAATGAAATAAAGGTATGCAACAAAGTAGAACTACAACATACTATTTTTGTTCACTATAATAAAAAGAACTTGCTCAACTTTAAATAAAAAAATGTAGAAACATGCTAATTGTTGAATATCAGCGCCGCTAAAAACTATTCTTTTAAGCTAAGCTATGTAAGCAGGGCTAACCTAGCATCATTTATCCTCTTGGCTAGCAAGCGAACAAATGGTAGAGTTCACCTGTTTAGTGATTCACTTTTCTAGCAATAGTTAATTGAAGTATATTAACAGGAACATTTGCTTGTCATGAATCAACCAGACTGAATCAACCAGAAATAAAAAAGTAACTTTCATCTATAGCTAGCCCATCTTTATGCTAATTACATTCTAGCTCTGGCATACAATACACCAGCTAGTTAAAACACACACACTTTAATCCAAAGTTTGTTTTTGGAGGCATAATGGACTTTGTATTTTTTTTTAACATAAAGTACTGTACAAAGCTCTGAATCCACCACACATTGCTTTATATTATGCATGGAGAGTGGGTGCAGTAATTCTAACGAGACACTCACTGTTGTACCTCTCTCCAAACGGTCGGGTGCGAGAAGTAGACTGAAAATATGTGAAAAATGTGCAGCCAATGTCCAGTGAAAAGCTTAGAAAGACCTTCAGAAAACCTGAGGAACTATTGTTCTCTTACAATAAAGTCTGGCTCCTTGGAGTTAAAATACAAAAGAAATTAACGGTGACTCGAGACTGTTGCACAGTACTTTATTTTGATTACTCTGATCTCTTTAAACCACCTCATTCTTAACTCAAAATGACATTTGAGTCATAGCAGGGCTTCACAGTCTGTAACCTTCTTCTTCAGCTTGAACATAAAAAGTAAATAGAATCAGATGCCAGTCCCTGCTCTGGGAGGCAGATGTTTAGGAAAAAGATGACAAGTAATTGTGATTCAAGTACTTCCCTTTTGTCAGCACAGAGGTATGCCCTTATGTAAAAAGCAAACAGCTTGGAGCAGTACCTGTTTTAGCACATCTGGTATGACAAAAATGCTAATAATCATGCTGTCTCATAGTCACTGGCACCTCAGGAGTCATCAGTGGAAATCTGACTGTTTTTTCCTATCAGGTCATGAGTTTTCCTACTTGTCATCAATAAGTCATTGTGTAATCAGGGGCTATATTGATTGTTCACTGCTTGATAGAAGACAAGAGCTCTGATGACACATTTTTGGCAGCAGTCTTATTCATTAGTCAGCTGACAAAGACACATAGTAGGAAAACTGTCAACAAAACTCAGTGGATAAACTGAAGTGCCGTTTCAGTATTGGACCCTTTTAAGGCAGAGAAAAATAATTTTCTGTATGGACAGCAGAAAGAAGTTACTAAAGTTATACACTAACGTTTCCACCCAAGAGGAAATGGATATAAGTTTTTCCTGCACTCAGTTAACTCCCTTCCTGTCTCCATCCGCTGTCTAGGGATGACGCCACTGGTTAGATTGGGATATTAGAAACCTGTTAATGCTTCATCCACAGCAGGCCGAATAACATTCAGGCCACAGTGGCAAAAAAGAATCAGAGCCTGCCTTTTCACAAAAGGCCAAATATTTGACCCTCATCTGCTTTTGTTGCCCCAGGGCACATTCTGCAGGGCTCAGTTTACCCTAAACAAAAGCTCTGTTTGGCCACTGTGGTTTCTGGAACTGCTCATGTTTTGGATTTAATGTATCAGTCTCTTGTTTGTCAGATTTTTCTCTCTTAGTATTTGTGTGGGGTTTTTTTTGCCTGGGCTGGTGTGAAAAAAAAAAAATCAAATTTGCCTGTGCTATGTGGGGAAAGATGAGCCTTAGAAAGAACAAAGATGTTACAAAAAAGCCACATCTGATTGCATAAATAGGGCTAGTTTCAAATGTCAGTGACTGATTCATGGTGTTACTGTAGCCGATTCCTTTGTGTCACAGTCCAAAGAATGTCCGAGCTGTCCGGATAAGCTGGAGCGTAAATAGAAGACAGTCATGTCATGTCTTTGTAAATCATTTCGGGGTGTCAGTATTTCTATTGTGAGACTATTTAAAATCACTCATCTTTAGTAATCATCGTCCTATATTGCATCCTTTGAAGGCAGGGAAAACTTACTGTACAAGTTTTTTAATGAACCTGAATTCGTAATCTATGTGTCACAGTGACACTCCCTTGTTTGTTAGTTAAATATTACCTTATGTAAAGCTTCCTCTAGCCGCAGGTCCGCCTGTGACGCCCTGCTAAACCACAAGGTCACATGACTGTGCAAACCTAGGAGACAGTTGCCACGTAAACATGCCTCACCTGCTGAGCGAGAGCTTTCTGACCGAGGCTCTCACCATACCAGATAGACCACAGTTGCGCAGACACAGATCAGTTCCTTCCATATTTATCTTAGTAAACACATGGCCACTCTTTTATTTGACTCTTCGGCTGATTAGTTTGGCACATGGAGGGAAGCGGACGACCTGGCTGCTTCTCCTCTAGTGTGTTTTTAAGCTTAGGCTTTATGTCGGCACAAAGACACTGAACAGTTAAAGTTAATTTTTTCTACTTTGGTTTCTGCTCAGCCTCCTTTGTGGAAGCCACTTTTGGTCTGGGTGACTGTCAGTGTGTGAGTTTAAGGAAGCCTAAAATGTTGTTTGTAGGGCTTACTAAGGCGTAGCATGAGATCACCTCTCTCAAAGAAGAAATGCTGTAATGGCCGCCTGCTGTGCTGGTATTTAATGTGTAATTACTGTAGGAGGTTCTTTAAAAGAAAGAAAAAACAACATAATGGCAGGGCTAACACTGTCAGTAAAACTGCTATTTAGGGATTTATTTTTTTAGCTGCTGTGATTTCATTAATACCAATAGCTTACGTCAGCCGTTCCTTAAGACCCAGTCAGTCCAGATCATTTGACTTGCATCATTCTGTGTAAAGCTTGTGTAACTTCCATGTGAAAGAAGTGATATATGAGACATCACCAGTGACCTAGGTTTGAACAGTGTCTTCATTCTGACTTTCTTCCTCTTTGCCCACAGTTTCCATCCTCTGCTGTGTCTTCATACTCTTCCTCTTCCTGTCTGAGCTGACGGGATTCATAGCCACTGAAATGTAGGTACTGCCGCTCGTCTGTAATATCCTCCGGCTGAAACGCACAGTTCCCTGGTTACCACGCAGGCACAAACAGGGACCTAATTATGAATGTCAATGCCCTCATTATGATGTATTCTGCCCAGCCAGTGTTGTAACCAATGAATGGAGTCAAATTTGTGACAGGAAATTGTCTTTGTGCATGCGTCAGCCTCTTGGCAATGTGTAATAAGCGATGACTTGGTAAGGGTGTGACAGAAAGGAAATTACACCGGCAGAGATACACAAATGCTCTCTCCTTGCAATTTGGCAGAAGATGAGTCCCCTACTATTAAAGTGGCGCACAATAGCATGACGTCAAGGGAGAAAAGTGTCCTTTTCTAATGAAAATACCACATTTCTTTAAATTAAAAGTTGATTTTCTGTTCTAACCATCTCTAACCTTTTTTTTTTCTTTTCTCCATCCATTGCAGTGTAAATGAACTGTATGTGGATGATCCCGATAAAGACAGTGGTGGGAAGATAGAAGTGAGTTTAAACATCAGTTTGCCAAACTTACACTGTGATTGTGAGTATATACATATATACAAATATCTATTTCTTTGCATTACATCTTCTGTTTCTGTATTCTTTCTTCCGCACTTTGTAAGGCCTCTTTTAACAGTTTGTTTTCCCCTTTATCTGACTCATGCTTACCGTGTGCCCTGTCATTTAACATGTCATATTAGCAAAGGATAAACTATCCCTTAGATAAAGAAACAGACTCTCAAAACTATTGTGATGTGCAAATGTCTTGAGCAAGCCCTCAGTTCTTTATTAGTTCATATGATTTTTTTTTTTAAAACCACTTAGCGCTGACCTATGAATCATTCAAGTATAGAAAAGGCACAACTTAACAATTCAAGGGACAAATCAGGTATTTTGTGTCCACGCATAACAGAAACTTAAATTTTTAACTTTAAAAATAGCGGTTAATCAGCATCAAAGACCTGACACAGGATGCGTCTGGACCTTCAGTTGATCCATTTACTCTACACTGAAACTTCAATGGGCTCGGTGAAAGGGTGTGCTCTCAGGAAGCCATTATTAATGATAAGAAAGAGGGAGAAAAGCCTGAGGTATACCAAATTACACAAGAATTGGACTGAAAATCAATGGCAACGAGTCTTATAGAGTGATGAATCCAAATTTGAATTATTTTGAGGATATTGTGAAAATTGATGGAATTATAAATGCAGAAAAGTCTCCTAAGATTTTGATTTACTATACAGTATCATCTGGAAAGTGTTGATTGGCAACAGCTTTATATTTCAGCATGTCAGTAATCCCAAACACACTGTCGGTGCAGTAAAGGTGTAGGTGGATAGAAAAAAAACACAACGAAACAGCTTCAGTCAAGGATTGCCCACCACAGAGCCTGGACGTCAGCATTTTTGAAGCAGCGTGGGATCATTTTGACAGAGACCAGAACAAAAGGTAGAAGCATCCAAAAAAGAGAACAATTAGACGATCTGTCTAAGAGAGTTCAGGCTGTGTAAATGAATGGGGGCCTTACTAAATATTGACTTCCCACCTCATTAGAACTGTTTTTGCCATATAATACTGTATTTCCATATATGTTTCAGTAACCTGCTGCATTTATTTTCCATTTTCCTAGCAAAATGTAAAGAAATGAGGCATGCTTTAGAACATTTCACAATACTGCATTGGCAGTTTTGGTCTGGCATGCTCGTAGATAAGACGAGAGCATCCTCTGCCATGTATCTCCTGTTGAATTTCGTGCTGCCACACAGCTGTGATCTGTGTTTCACATTAAGTCGCCTCTACTGGCTCGTACCCTGCGCTCAGATGTCTGTGGAACATGCGGTTGAAGGGTGCCAGGTCACTTTTGTGCTCCTCATGCCTTCCCCCAGCCCCTCCTCTAAAACTATGCCAAATGACAAATCACTTGCGCAAATACACCGGCAGGTCTCGGGACAGCGCAGAAAACTCACACATCGATTCAGCTCGGGCGATATCCAAAAATGGAAAAGCTTATAACTTGCTTGTGTGAAAATTAAGTCCAGATTTGTGCGATAGAGGCTTTGGCACGCAGACACACAGCTGCTGGCCATGTGTTCAGACGAGCTCACTCACTCATGGCATTCCTAAACAAAGGCCGTCCCCCTGCTCTTGATGATTGTATGTATAGGTCGTTTTGTTTAATTGCAAAATTGAAGCCCTTTCCCTTCCCCCTCAAGTTTGGGTCCCATTTAAATACCAGCTCAAACACGTCGGTTTGACCACACAGTGCAGCTGCACGTAATGAGCAGAAATGTTCCTCTCCTCACGAGTTAATATTCTACACAAGTGAATTTTCCAAAGAGGTTGTCATCCGCTGCAAATTTACTTCAAGGAAGAGGCTCTTTCATCATGGAAAACCTGACATTTCCATCCCCTGGTTTTAGCGTTTATCTGCTCTGCTGCTCCAGAGTTAAACATCATCTCTCTTCGGTGACCTTTACCGGTTGCCCCGCCTTGATTTGTGACTTCATGGAAAAGCACATCCGCGTGTAAATAACCTTATACTAACCTCCACTTTCTATCAACCTGCTTCCAGTCCGAAATGTCTTAAAAAGGAGAAACAACCATCTTTCACTGGCGCATACACACACACACACACACACACACACACACACACACACACACACGTCACTTATATTTATGCACTGTATTTTGAGATCTGGATAGAGTTGGAGAGGGGGGAGAATCCCGTCTTGAATGTCAAAGGTCAGACAG